ATACACAATGCCTAGAATTCAGTAAGATTTAAGTGAAACATGGGATTTGGGGGAAAGGTCAAACATGCGTAACTGGAATCCTAGAAGAGAAAGAGAATGTAATTGAGTCACAGGCATCAAGTCATAGACCCAAGAAGCTCTGTGAATGACAAGAATGAAAACAAAGAAGGACACAATTAGTAATATCATATTAAAACTGCAGAAAACAAAAGATAAAAATTCTTAAAAGTAGCCAGTGGAGAAAAGAACGCATTTTTCAAGAGAGTAACACTAAGACTGATAATTTTTCAACAGTAATTATGAAAGCCTAAAAAGATAATCCACTGAAATCTTTATGGAGCTTGAACAAAATAATGGACCACCTAGAATTCCTTTCCCAGTGAAAATGTCTTTTAAGAATGAAGGTAACATGGACCTCTGTTTAGCCAAGCAAAAACAGAGAGAATTTATTTCTAGGATATAGGAATAAAAGAAATGCTAAAAAAAAAAGCCCTTCAATAGAAGGAAGATTATTAAAGTTGGAGGCACTCATAACGCACAGCAGGAAGGTCAGAGTGTGGTTAAACATGATGACAACTGTCTACATAAAATAATAAAAATAATGATGATGATCATGCCTCTTCCAGAATTCAAATAATGTTCGAATAATACAGTAAGAACCTCCAAAGTAAAAGCAAAGTAGACACTGGCAAAAATAAGTAAATAAGTGAAAGAAAGAAAAAGCAAAAAAAATGACCTTTTTCAGACTTTCAAAATCAACCACCAGCTTGCATGCATAAAGGAGCTTTTATTCAAGGACAAAAGTTGAATCTCAGAAAGAAGAGTGAGCGCTTTGCAGCATCCTAACTTGCCCTGTTTCCATACCCCTTCTTCCTTAGAACCTGGGTAGAACTGAACACTCGAAGTCTCCCAGAGGATTACAACTTCCTGGAACAGAAATCTACCAGCTGAAACCTCAGTGGTGAGGTAGAGAAACCTGAGCTGGAACGGAGGAGGAGTTGTTGGAGGCTCAGAGTAGACAAGGCTGAGGGAAAAATCTCCCGTGGGGTGGTAAGGACGTCCTCGTTCAGTAGTAGAGCACTTGTCTAGCATGCATGAGGCCCTGGGTTCAAAAAAAACCCTCAAAACAAACAAACAAGAAAGCCCATCACCAACGCCAAAAACTTCAGGGGGACCTAAGGGATCCCATGTTTTTATGAGATTTACCTCTTAGTTCCCACAGTGAATTTCTGAGAAAAAAAAAAAACCCTTCATGCTTCCAGAAGATCCACCTAGAGGATGATCCTAAACAGACCTAGGGAATAAAAGAAGCATTAAAAACACACCAGAGAATTCTGTCCTTCTTAAAGGGTCCTGCTCTCAGGAGTAACTGTTTTACCAGAGATTAACCTGGTGGGGCTTTATCAGAAGCTGACGGACCCCGGAAAGGTAAAAACCAACTTTAACTCCTGTAATCAGGAAGTAAGATCCTAGATGTCTTCTTAGAGCTCAAGTGTGGAAGACTTTGTCCTAAAGCCACAGTATTCAGAGGTGAAGCCTTTGGCAAGTGATCAGATCCTGAGGGCTCTGGTGTCGTGAATGGATTATCCATTTCTGGATTCGTAGCTTGAGGGATATGGGGAATTGGTTGTTATATAACAGCAAGCTCTCTCCTCTGCCTAGCCACAGCTTTGTTGCACACATCCTGCTACAATGTTTTACCTTGCCATGGGACAAAGTAATAGGGCCAAGCAACTCTGGTCTAAAATCTCTGAAATTGTGAGACAAAATAAATATTTTCTCATTTTAAGTTTCTGGGCCCCCCCCCCCGCCCCAGGTATTCTGTCACAGCCACAGAAAGCTGACTAACACAAAAAACCTACTCACAGGCAAAAATACGGTTTGAAGAAACAGTATCAAAAATACGGTTTGAAGATACGGCAGGTTTGTTGGCATTATCAAACTATAAAATTTAAAACAATTATGATTAATATTCTAAGGACTAGAATCAATAAAGTAACAGGAACAAAAATGAATAAACAATGTAAGCAGAGAGATGGAAATTTTAAATAGAACAACAAAGAAATAAAAAAATAAAAGAATGCCTTTGGTGGGCTCATCACGTAACTGAGAGAAAAAAATCTCCGAGTTTAAAGATACAATAGAAAATTTCAAAACGTAAAGCAAACAAAGAAAAAAAAAAACCCAACAGTATACCCAAGAATTGTGTGACAAGTATAAAAATTTTTAAATATAAATAAAAAGGATGCTAGAATGAGATTAAAAAGAAAAGAACAGATGAAATATTTGAAGCAAGAGTGACTGTGAATTTTCCCAAATTAATGTCAGACACCACAGATGGAGTTTGGAGAACAGCAAGCCAGATGAATGCCCAAAAAACAAACAAAAAAAATCTATACATAGGAATATCATTTTAAACTTCACAAAATCAGAGACTAAAAGAAAATCTTGAAAGAAGCAACAGGAAAAAAAGTATGTTATCTATAGAGGAGTGAAGAGAAGAATTGCATCTGACTTTTCAGAAAGCATACAAGAAGGAGGAGATCAAGTGCAATACTTAAAGTGTTGAAAGGAAAAAAAAAACCCACCAACCTAGAATTCTACATACTGTGAGATTTTCCTTTAAAATTGAAGAAGAAATAAAGGCTTTTGCAAACAAAAGTTGAGGGCATTTGTTACTAGCAAACCTGTCAGGCAAGAAATGTTACCAATAATACAAAAGAGACTTTTAAAAACTCAGTTCTACATTTAAAAAAATCATAATTATTTTAAATTTTATAGTTTAATAATTCCAACAAACCTGCCATATCTGTTTAGAATAACAATAGCAACAATGTACGCAATTGCATATGCTTATGTGTATATGCATATATTTGTGTACATGCATGTTTATATATAAGAAAAATGAATGATAGCAATGATACAAGGGACAAGAGGGAGACATGTCTTGTTATGCTGGGCGGGGTGGCGCATGCCTGTAATCACAGCGGCTTGGGAGGCTGAGACAGGAGGATCCCAAGTTCAAAGCCAGCCTCCGCAAAAGCAAGGGGCTAAGCAACTCAGTGAGACCCTGTCTCTAGAATTAATACAAAATAGGGCTGGGGATGTGGCTCAGTGGTCGAGTGCCCCTGAGTTCAATCTCTGGTGCCCCTCACCCCACCAAAAAAAGAAATATCTTATTATTGTAAGGCACTGGAAGCAGTTCAGTATTACATGAAAGTGGATTGAATTAGTTGTAAATGTCTATTGCAAACTCTAGGGCAATTACTAAATAAAGCAAAAGAAGGAGAAGAGGGAGGAGGAGAAATTGTCCAATTAAAACCACAAACAGAAGAAAAATATTCAATAGAAATAAAGAACAAAGACGACAAGCTGAAAAGAGTTATGAATATGGTAGATAGTAATACAGATATATCAATAATTACTTTGACTGTTATGCTCGAATTCAGGACCCCCAAAAGACCACCAGAGACCAAGATCGATGTAAACAGCAAAGAGGTGTTTATTGCAAGCTAGCTCCGTCCTCCGCGTGCACACACAGCAACTGGTGACACTGAGAGGCCCCGAGCCCAGGGTTTGCAGCAGTTTTATACACTCTTTGGAGAAGGCAGGGACCCCCACATACATCATAGCATCTCTTAGCAAATCATCACACACCGTGGGAAAATCAAATAACAACTCTAAAACATGATTAGCACATTCACTGGTGGGAACAAGTTGGGTAGGGGTGATTGGTCAGTACAAGAGGGGGATTCATTTGAACTGATTGGTTTAGGCCACGAGGGGTGTTTGTGCTGAACTACATGGTTTCTCATCATGTTATCAACCACCATAAACTACTGGGAGGGTCATCTGGCATCCCAGGTATTTCCCTGTCTCATGCTGATTGGTGGCTGCTAGGGGGCTGCTATGGGTCCCCACCTAGCCTGACTGAGTCAGGGACATCTGGCTCAGCAGATCTCTCCTGTTATTTGTAGATAAACAACTTAGCAGGGTGGGAATGTGCCTAGGAGTGCTCTGTGGGTTTTTCCAAGGACAAAGGTGATGTCCCTTCCTTGGACAGGCTTTGCTCTGAGGTAGAGGCTGGTTTTTCAATCTCTTCATTATTTTACTTTTGTGTGTGTGTGTGTGTGTGTGTGTGTGTGTGTAGTGCTGGGGATTGAACCCAGGGCCATGTGCATACAAGGCAAGCGCTCTACCAACTGAGCCATACCCCCGCCCTTCCATTCTCTTACTTTTTCAAGTCCATTTCTTCCTAAGTCTGGCTCTTCTTCAATCAGTGGTGACAGCTCCAGTCTGTTTCCTTTTGTAGTTCTTATCTCATGGTCATAGTCTTAATTCAAAGTAGCATAAATGTGTCTGTTAGTCTCTTTCTGCTCAACAGCAACTGGTTTAAAACATGCACATAAAGTGTGGTAACAAGACTTTTATCACCGACAATTCCTTCAAGATTGTAACTGAGTCTTTCTGGGCTGCTGAATCAGGATGATTTGTCTTGATTTCATATTCTAACCCGGACTGAATGTAATCCCGATCAGAGTCAGCAATCTGGAATATCAGTTCAAGCTTATTCAATAGTTTAAAAATTTCTCTAGGGAAACTATTTTAAGTACATTCCAAGAACTTCAGCTTCTTGTGTCTAAAGAAGCCAAGTATCAAAACAATGCTTTTGAGAGCTGGGGATATAGCTCAACGGTAAATGCTTGACTAGCACTACTAGGAGAAATCCCCAGCACTGTGAACAAAAACTCACAAACTAGCTAAATAAATAACATTTTTTTTCAAATACAGAATATTGTTAAAGAGATAGAAATAATTTTTAAATAGAAATTCTGGAGGTGAAAAGTATAATAAAAATTCACCAAGGGGACTAACTAGCAGATCTGAGCTGGCAAAAGAAAGAATCAGCCAACTTGAAGATAGGCCAATGAGATTATCCAGTCCAGGGAACAGAAAGAAAAGAAAGAATGAAGTAAAATAAACAGAACTTTAGGACCTTGTGGACAAAATCAAGAGATAAAAGGACAAAACAAATATTTGAAAAAAAATGGCCAAAAATTTCTAAAATTTGATTTAAAAACCATCTGTGCAACCAAGAAGCTTACTGACTCTAAGTAGAATAAAATTTAAAGACCCATCCCTAAAAACATGACTGCAAAACTGTTAAATGTCAAAGAGAGAATCTTGAAGGCAGTAAAAAAGAAAAAAAGGTTTTGACTTATAAGATTAACACAATAAGACTAACAGCTGCCTTCTCATCAAGAACCATGAAGATCAGAAGAAGACCAGAAGGAATGAGAAATCTCAGCACTCCCAGAGAATCCATTGCAAGTATACCTGCCCTATAATAATTGATACAGCCTGTCCTTCAGACAGACAAGAAAGGACAGTAGATAAAAATTTGAATCCACGTGAAGGAATAATGCCAGTTACAGTGACTACATAGATAAATTTTAAAAAGATAGTAGATATGTATGTTTGCATGTAACTCTTTTGTTTTCCTGTATTATTTAAAAAAATCATTCAAAGACATAATTTTGAATCTATGTTAATGATTTTATAGGGTATAAATATGCAACATGTATGAAAATAATAGCACAAAAGAGATAGGAAAATGGAGCTACATTGAAACAAGTATTTGTGTAGGATTGACATGAAATTGGTAATAATCAGCACTATATTATTTTAAATTAATTGTGACCCTTGGGGCTACCACTACTACTTTAAAAAAATAGTAAAATAAAGGATAGGGAAATTAAATTGCTACACTAAAAATTTATACAGTGCAAAGGCAATAAGAAGTTTGAAATATGGAACAAAAAGGGTATCACATACATAAAAAAACAACAAAATGAAGCCAGGTGTGGTTCATTATACCTGAAAACTTCAGAGCCTGAAGAAGTTCAAGGCCAGCCTTAGCAACTTAACAAAACCCTATCTCAAAATAAAAAATAAAAAACACTGGGGATGTAGCTCAGTGGTAAAGCACCCCTGGGTTCAATTCCCAGTATCAAAGAAAAGCAAATGACAGGAATAAATCTTACTCTTTTTTGTTTTTAGTAATTACAATAAATGTAAATGAATCAAACACCACACTATTAAAAGGCAGAGATTGGCACAATGGAATTTTTTAAATGACCCAACTCTATGCTATGTAGAGAAAATATTTTTTAGATTCAAAGATGTGATAAATTGGGCTGGGGATGTGGCTCAAGTGGTAGCGCCCTCCCTGGCACGCATGTGGCCCGGGTTCAATCCTCAGCACCACATACAAACAAAGATGTTGTGTCTGCCGAAAACTAAAAAATAAATATTAAAAAAAATTCTCTCAAAAAAAAGATGTGATAAATTAAAAGTTAAAGAATGTAAAAAGATATATCATACAAACATTAACCAAAAGAGAGCTGGAGCAGCTACACTAATATCAGACAAAATAAACTTTAAGACATAATTTTTAAAATTTATTTTTGAGTGTAGGTGGACACAAAATGAAATATCTTTATTTCATTTTCATGTGGTGCTGAGGATAGAACCCAGTGCCTCCCGTAAGCTAGGTGAGTGCTCTACCACTGAGCCAACCCAGCACCAAGACATAAAATTTTACGAGAGACAATCACAGGCATTGTTTGTTAGTTTGGTGGTGATGGTGATGGTGTGTGTGTGTGTGTGTGTGTGTGTGTGTGTGTGAGAGAGAGAGAGAGAGAGAGAGAGAGAGAGAGAGAGAGAGAGTGCACACACGCTTTACTGGGGAGTGAACCCAGTGAATTCATGTATGCTAGGCAGGCTCTGTACCATTGAGCTATATCCTCAGCCCTCCAGAAAGGCATTTTATAGTGATAAAAAGTTCAATCCATCAGGATGATGAACAACTGTAAACATACATGCACCTGCAACAGAGACCCAAAGTACATGAAATATAGGCCAACAATAATATGAATAGAAGGAGTAAATGGAGTTAAAGCCTTGTAGCTTAAAGCCTTATTAACTAGAAAATAAAAGTGATCATTTTTATTGGATTCCAGTAAATCAAAGATTCATATTATAATCTTAAAAACAATCCCTTAAAGAAGAACAATATCAAGTATGATCAACAAACTAATAGAGAAAGTGTCCTTAAAAATTGATTAATCCAAGAAAAGGGAAGAAAGGAAAGAAAGATGAATATTAAACTATTCAGTTGTAGAGAAAAGAGTAAAATTGCAGATTTAAAATACCAATATATCAATCATTATGTTAAGTGTAAATGGACCAATTATGCTAACTAGAAGATAAAAATGTTATTCTGAATTTAAAAAACTGTTTATAAGAGTCTGTAGGCTGGGTATGTAGCCCAGTGGTAAAGCACTTGGCTTAGCATGCATGAGGCCCTGAGTTCAATTCCCAGGACTGCAAAAGATAGAGAAAAAGAAAGACAGAGATTATCTTAAATACAAGAATATAGAAAATTAGATATATGAAAATGGGAAACATACATGACATATGCCAAAGGGAGATTGGAGAGGATACGCTAATACCAGAAAAAGTAGCCTTTAAACTAGAAGGAGAAAAAATGTAGGGTCAATGCTCCAGAAAGATTTAACAACTCTAAATTTCATGCACCTGATAACATCTCCTCTAGTAATATAAAGTGATTATTTTTAAAATTAAAAGGAGAAATAGACAAATCCACAATTGTACCTGGAAAGTTTAACACACTATTCTTTATAAGCAATTGAACAAATAGACACAATAAATAAATAAATAAATAAGTAGACAAATAGCTTGAGGGGCTGGGCATGTGGCTCAGCAGGAGAGCACTTGACTAGCATGTGTTGGACCCCAAGGTTGCTTCCCAGCACTGCAAAAGTATAAGATAAACAACCTGAGCAACACTTAACATATTTCTCCAATTAACAGATAAAATACTACACTCAACAACTGAAAAATAGATATTCTTTCCATGTGTACATGGAAAAAAATTTAAATGTTCACAAAACAAGTCTCAATACATTTCAGATGATAAAAATCATATGGGGTTATATGGTGTATGTCTCTGCAATGAAAACATGTTAGATATGAATTATAATAAGAAAATTAGAAATGCAAATTAAGCATTTTATTTCTCAGTAATCCATCAATCAAAAAAGAAATTATAATAAAAATTAGCAAATCTTTAGAGGAGAATTATAATATAAAAGCATATCAGTACCTCTTGACCTCTATTTAGGCCAAGCTTACAGAAAAATTCATAGCTTCAAAAGCCTGTATTAGAACAAAAAGTGAAAAAAATATCAGTTATCTAACATATACATTGAGTAATTAATAAATAGCAAATTAAGTGAAAAATAAGTAGGAGAAAGATAACAACAAAGATTAGTGAATTTGAAAGCAAATATATGATAAGGAATATCCAAAAATCCGAATTGTAGGGCCCTAGCAAGACTGATAAAGAATAAAAATAGAGAAGACACAAGTTACCTTCATTACAGATCCCACAGGTCATGTGACTTTGACCCCCAAATCTGGAAAGGATATTACAACAACAATAAAAAAGGGGGCGCAGGGTGGGAATACTCACCAGTCCTCAGAAACACAGATGGGGGAAAAAAGAAAAAATAACTCAAGAAAGAAAATGGCAAATTAAAAAATCAGATCTGGCAACATATAAAAAGAATAATGTATACGTTGGATGCCAGCTACTCAAGAGGCTGAGGCAGGAGGATTGCAAATTTCAGGTCAGCATGGGCAACTTATAGGACCAAGTCTTAAAAAATAAAAAGGGCTGGGGTGTAACTCAGTGGTAAGAGCATCATGTGTTCAATCCCTAGTATTGAAGGAAAAAAAAAAAAGATAACATCAAGTCCAAATTGAATTTATTTCAGGAATAAAAGATCAATATAACAATTAGAAATTAGTTACTGTAACTCAGTATATTAAGGAGAAATTTGCATAATACAGAAAAAGTATCTGCAAAAATTGTATTCTATTTACAAAAAACGCATAGCAAAATGGAAGAAAAATGAACTTCTCTTTTTACTTTAAAAAATTGTTTCAGACTTACATAAAAGTCACAGAAGTAGCACAGAGTTCCTATATATTCTTCATCTAACATCCCTTAATATTATCATCTTATGTTGCTATAGTGCAGTTATTGAATTCAGGAAATCAGCATTGATACGATACTATCAAATAATTCATAAACCTTATTAAAAAATTTATCTGAATTTTCCTCTAACAT